ATTTACACTACTAAAAAAAATTAGAGCGTACAATCCAAAACGAACTTTATGTTGGTTGTAGAGAACTTCATAAACTCTCGATTGATAATTAAATAAAACCTTTTCTATATAGCGTATGGTCTAGCTAGTTAAAACAAAAAGTGTGAATTTTTCAATTGCCCAATCTTTCCTTCAAAATCCTGCATTAGCAAAGGCTCTGAATAGTTTTTGGTCTCAGAATTGATATATGTATGCTAGATGCACATGAGTTGCACAAAGTACTTTATAAAAATTATGAATGAGATATGAGATTAGAATCCTCATGAGTTTGCAATGTCCATCCCGGTGGACATTGGGGAGGAGGGGGGAGGGAGGAGTTGCATGAAAATGGTCGTTTTCAATAAACGATACTACTCATGTGCACGCATAGAAAGAATTTTTTTAAACATTTAATAGTATTTTTGACAAACAAGAACATTAATTAGAGTATATCAGACATTCAATCCGATTTCTTTCGAGTTTTCGAAGCGGATAGTTCCTCTCTTTAGGCAGTAAAAGGAAAAATCGAGTCATTGATGACAACTTCAGTATAAATCATATAACTCATAACATTTCTTGTCTATGATGCTACAGACAAAGCTTATGTGTGCAACTTCAATCAATATATAACAAACGGTCTAGTAGAATGAGTTACACCCTTCTTCCTAAATTTAGCATCGATCCTGCATATTTCCTTCAATGATCTGGATATGGGACTTGGACCTTCGAAAACTTCCAAAAAATTGAAATATCGATGAAGTTCTTGAGTGTTAACGATATTTCTTTATGAATAGAAAATTGTGAAGAAGAGCAGTTTTAAGTCGCTTCTCCCCAATGTCCATTGGAGTGGACATCGTATTATACCAAGTACAAATAACTTTATGTTTTGACTATTATAGCAAAGCATACCGATGATTAATAGTCCCAAAATTAATGATCGGCTTACTTATAGCTCTTCGAGAACCCTCGTGGAAGGTAAAGGGTTAAAGTTAAAATTTATTACCTGAAAAAGGAGTTTGTTCAGGTGCCATCGGTTCAGTTGGATGTTTCATTGCCCATGGTTGAACATCACCAGATCCAATAAATAAAAATGCAATCATACCAATTATGTAAATAACTGCACAAATAAAAAAAACAATACGCCAATTATTTGGATCCTATATTTATTTATAGATATGAAATATAAACATAATATTATTAAAAAAAAAACGAACTTTTTCTGTAAGAGCTCCAACAATATATGGACTAATAATGCCCGGTATTGTAGCAAATGTATTCGAGATACCAAAAACAATTCCTGTATAAGGTGGAGCAATATCATTTGCAGTTAACATAAAACCTCCACCATAACAACATCCTCTATGTTAATAAAACATGATACAAATAAATTTTAAAAAAAATCTGATCTAAGAAAAGGAAATAATTACGTAAATGTAACACCAATTGTTAATAAAACTACTGCAATATATTTAAGTTTACATGTCATAAATGCTAAACCAATAACAAATATTGCCGGAAATAAATTTCCTAATACATTAAATACTTTTCTTGTTTGTGTTCTTGTTAATATTTTCTTTCGAATAATCATATCAGCTATTGCACCAGATAGATTTATATTGACCCAAAACATAATATAAGGTAATGATGAAAGTAAACCATTCTAAATCAATAATATATCATTCAAGGTAGAAAATAATAAAGACTTCAGTCTCAACATCATTATATTATGATTTACTTACTGATTTAATATCAAATCTTAATACTTCAGCCATATATTTTGGTATTGATGTAAGAAATGTATATGTACCCCAATTATTACATGTATGAATAATAAAAAGTGCCCAACAAGCAGGTGATGTTAAAATTGATTTCCATGGAGCTTCAAATTCATTTTTACTATGACTAGATAATTGTTCTTGAGTACTATTAAGAATATATTCTTTTTCTTCATTACTAATACAACGCTGATCACGAGGTGAATCAGCATAAAATATAAGCCAAAATATACCCCAAATAAGACCAATAATACCTGTTGAATAAAAAATTAATGGCCAACCACCAAGAAAATTCGATGAGCACATTAATCCACCGAGAGATAATGTCAAAACATTTCCAATTTGAGCACCTATGTCACAAAAACAAAGCAAAAAAAAAAGAAAGAAATAATTAATAAATCAAAAAAAAATATATATATTTCACAAGAAATTACTAACCAGCATTCATAAAACCAACAAGTTTTCCTCTTTCATTAGGTGGTGCCCAATGTGCCATAATTACAGTCATACTTGGCCATATAACTCCATGTGCAAGCCCGACAATTAATCGAAAAATCCAAAGTACTATATAATGTAGACTTGCACCCCATGGCATGATCAAAGTAAAAATACCAGAAATAATCATTCCTATACCAAATATAAATCGAGCACCATATCGAACAGCCAAATATCCACCAGGTATTTCAGTAATTAAATAACCCCAAAAATATCCTCCTAAGACAATACCTTGAATATTTTTTGTCCATGGATATGGACCTTCCTATATAGAATACAATAGAAGAGAAAATTATATGATCAAATGACAAAATTTTTTTTTTTTACAATTTTGGCTATATTATCTGGATACGGACAATCAATATCAATTTGTGTAAGTGGTGTATCAATAGAAGATTTGTGATGATCAATAGCTGTATGATTAACCATACAAACAAGAGCAATACCAACACTAATTTTTTGTGAATAATGTGCAACCATGCCCAGAAATCCAACAAAAGCAACAGCAACACGAATTGAACACCAAAAAGAGACTATAAAACGTCAAGTTTTTGAATAAAAATTGAACATATTTCATCACTTACCCGGTCGTGATTGTTCGTTATCGATTTGCTTCATGGTATTTTTTTCGAATTAAATTTAATATTTTTTTTTTTTTTGGAAAACAAATATTTATCTGGCGCTCTATTTTCGCCTACAATATTTTGATACAATAATATAAATACTTTCAAGTAAACACGAAGAAAATAAATGTCTTGATAAGACGTTTCTGTACTTCTGGATGTATAACGTATTTGTTTTTTTGTTAGATCCTTGTTGTTCTCTATTTCCATGCATTACCACAGAGATTACACGCTCCAATATCTGCAGACAAAAGAGAGAACAGAAAGAAAAAGTCATCCATCAATACAAACAAATATTAAAGCTAAAGATTATAATGAACATGAAAGGGAAACAGCACGCATCATTATGTATGTTTAAAAAAAAAAGAATGCTTTTCATGTGTAACTATTTAGATATAAGCATGATTGAAACTAAAAATAAGTTGTTATAGAGACAATCAAAGATTAATTATAAATGATATCTATTTTTATGTTAACTTGAGAAAAATGCGTCCTATCTATAATAAAGGAGTTTCTCGTCAAATGATTCTACAACACATACAATGGCAAGGAAGTGTCCTGCACGTGTATGACTTTTTGCAACCGGACTCAGACCGGAGCTAATCAACATCCGACAGATGCTTTTACAGTCACAGTGCAATTTTCAAATTTTTATTTTATATGAAAAAGTTTACTATTTAGTTTCTTCCATAAATAATAACAAAACAAAAGAGATCATCCCAAATTCCACAAAAGAGTAAGTGATTCATGACTCACTTGGTATCTTTCTACTTCTAAAATTCAATCAATTTTATTAAGTATATGCTTGCTTATTGTTGATGACACTGGAATGATGGCGCTAAACGTCATAATTGTGGATGCATCTATGAATACTTTTTCCATCACGATACAACATGTTCACTTTTTTGAAAATTCATTTTTCTCTTTATGTATTCAGTTATTTTGTCATATGATTGATCATCATCTATAGATGAGTTTTCATTAAAAAAAAAAGAATCTTTGTAGTAAAACAACATCACTTTCCATTTCTGTGACAATAAGTTTTTCAATCATGATCGAACCGGTTTTCACTCCTATGCTTTTATATAAATAGCATTTTGAAAAAGTCAAAATATTTTGAAACGTCGAGATCTCATTAATGACTGCGTCGAATCTGGCTATAAAATCATAACCGGACTCTGACCGACATTTTTTTTTATGTTGGACGCCCAAGCTCATGCTTCGGGTCGGATCGAATGGCAGGACACTACTTCGAAGTCCAACTTCGTCGAAGTTGGCGTGATCATAAAGAATTATTTTTTCAAATCACTGTCGGAGTTACATCAATAAAAACAAACACTAAGTATTTTTGTACTTACATAGTAACAACTTTATACTTCATATCTTAAGTAATGAACAACAAAAGACACAACTTTATAGATTTATAATTAAGTTTCAAGAAAAAAAATCATCAGAGAAGCATTCTCATTAACAAGTAGTACAAAACGAAGTATATGTGCTCGTCTTCTGTTATTAAAAATAATATATAAAAATTAGACCTTCGATCAAAAAGAGTACATTGAAAATAAATAGAGAGTTCTGATAAAATTTTTAAAAATAATATTCTAAATTAGATTTGACTTGACTATTTCTATTCTTAATGTTTTAATATGTAAAAATGATTTATTTTGTATTTTTGCGGTAGTTATTTGTTTTTTGAATCAAGAATAACTCTATTTTCAAACTTAGCTGATGTTTATTCCCTATTATAATCATATCGTTTTATTGTACTGACTTCATGTGAATTTCACATTAATAATCATTCAATATATTTTACAGCAGCAAATTTATTTTTGACAAACACCATACCACCAACAACAAAAACCAAGAATAGACACCTAGAATTCACATATTGCTTAGCATTAAATGTCAATAGGCGCTACGGACAATAGCAGGAAACAAAAAAATACAATAAAATAAATACATCAAATATCATTATCAATAAAAGAGCCCGAATAAATATTTTTTTCTAATTTGTTCGCGAACAATGCAAATCTCATGTCATTTAATGAATCAGATAGAAAAAAATGAGATATTTCAAAGTCATTTTCTAAGTATCTTTCTTAATACATGTTTTAAATGTATGTTCAAGATGATATATACTTGTTGATAATCGATTAAAACCATTAATAAGTGCAACAATTTCAGATCGTTGTAATTGTATTGTTTGTTCCGTAAAAAGAATTTTCAATGCCGTACCTTAAAAATAAATTTAAACAGTAGTGTCAAACTTGAAACTTGAATTCAATTATTGAACAGTTGAATCCAAGTATTCAACTATTCCGAGATGCTACAGAGATCACCTGGGATGTTACGAGCATCATCTGGGATGCTACAGGCATCACTTGGGTGCTGTGGGTATCACCTCGGATGCTACATGCACCATATTGGATGCTGCAGATACTGTATACATAGAGACGCGCGTGGGTCGCGGCTCTTCGGATGCGCTTCGTGTCTCTACGCCGCGACGCAGATATAAAAGGTCAGTTAGGCGGAGGAAGCGCTTTTCCCACCTGAATTTGCAGCACTGGTAATCTGCATAGTTGAATACTTGAATTCAACTTTCAAGTTTGACATGTATGAATTTAAAATAATTCAAAATAGTTGTTAGTACAATCCCTGTGAGATTAAAATGTCAAACATGACATAGCTACTATTGACAATCAAAGGGAAATTGTTTTATTCTATTCATTCTTTTATTTAATTCTTCACAATTACAATAGGGAAGTAGCTCACATATTACAACGAGACATTATTGACATATGGTTTGTGACATTCCCATGATAACGTCTGTCATGTTAGCGAGAGAGTTCAAATTTCTACCTCTATACACAGACGGCGGAACGTTTTGACGCTATGGCAAGCTCAACATTTTTTTATACGATTCTCATCTAGAAGTTAAAAATGAGTAAAGACGAGTTTTTGAAGGTCGCTTAGATGCAATACAGTTAGTGTCTCTTCTATCAAACTCACATTTTGCAACGTGTATAATAGAAAAAATTCGCAACTTACGTAAAAAAAACATGCGAACGTTTATGTTCATCCAAATGTGACTTTCAACAGAAAAGATTTTGATCTGCTTTACTGGAAAAAAAGTTTAATGGTGAAGCAGATATGTTTCACAAAAATAAAGATATGGTATTGTGATCTTCTTCACTCTTGAAAATGTTTAATAAGCATGTAATCTTAGTCGCTAAAAACGAAGAAAAATTTTGACAGATTCTAATTAATCTGACTAAGATTTTAATCTGATGGAAAGAGAAAAATGTTTCAGTCTACGAAACATCAATCTAGGATATGCTTTCGCTTTTCCAAGCCATGCAGCTCCGCCGTCTATGCTTATTGGACACGAATTAGTAGTTGATACAATGTAAACTGACCTTATAACAAAACGTCATTTGTCAAAAGAAAATGAAAATTAAACAGTAATAGAAATTTTTTACAATACTTAGAAACTATCTGAGTCTTTATCTGTCTCGGCGCTAGCCTACTTAAGTCTCGTGACTCCGCCACCTACACTCTAAAAAAGATTTCTATTATGGAAGTTCACATAGATACAAAGTCGAAAAAAAAATTAATTCTCTTTGTTTCTTCATACCTAATGCTTGTATTTGTAATTTTCCCCATAGTTTACATTTATCACAACCAACACAATCCATAATATGACTTATATTTCTAAAATGTTCTTTAAATTCAGCTTTTAATAATCGATTTCCATTTTGAAATAAATTATGTTCATTAAAATAATTTGCATATGGTTTTATTTCTTTTATAAATTGTTTCGTAAATAATTCTTTCATATGTAAATCATCAGTTTTATTTCCTGTAAAAAATGTTTGACCTTTAAAAAATCTTCGTGCTTTATAAATCGCACGTAATTCTATTAAATAAATAAAAAAAATATTTTTTAACCATTTTGGACCTTCACCACCTGTTGTTTCAGGATCAAAACGACGTTTAAATTCATCAAAATTTGGTCCCCATCGTCCATCAGAACCTGTATAACCACCCCCAACTATGGAAAAAAAATATTGTGCACATAAATGTACTGTAATACTTGTATGAAGACCGGATATAAGACGATAAAATGTTCGTCCTTCAACACACATTTTATGTGCATTTAAACGTTTTTGTTTAAGATCATAATAAATTTTAGAATCCGGTAGAAAAAAACAATTTTCATTATAAATTGCTGACCATACTCGTTGAGTTGATGGACCTGTATAACCAGTAAAACGTTCAAGATTAATTGATAAATCAATATATTCTAAATCGGTTGATGTTTCATCATCAACATCACAAAAATTTTCTGATTGTACATCATATTGAATCCAATTTTGAATTGTTTGTTGATGTTCTTCACTTATATTTTTATTAATTAATCCAAGTGAAGAATTATTAGGATTTACTAAACAAGATTCAGGTGGATGAAGAATTTTATCACGTAATAATTCAGGTAAATCTTCGATTGGACATTGTTTTATTGCACATGTTCGACGTGAACAATGACTATTGTCGGACCAAAATAGACATTTTTTTCTTAAATTAACGGGAAAAAATCGAAAATAATTTTTATTTACTATTTTATGTAATAAAGGATAAAGACGTTGATTATTAAGTTCAATTAAATCAGATATACGACAATTACAATCATCAATTAGATCATTATTATCAGATAATAAACATTGTTCATCACTTAAAACTATACAAAAATTTATGATCACAATATAAATTGAGAGAAAAATTATTTTAGCCATTTGTATATGAACAAAGACAACATGTCAATCGGTGCACATGTCAATTTGACAATGAATGATCAAAAGAGAAAATTATGAGAGTGAGACATAAAAGACAGCAGAACAACTACCTATCTATCAACATAATTTATGATTCTAACCAATCAAAATAAAACAAATCTTTCTTGGCCATGCGCTATCATTGTATTCGTTGTAAATGAACCAATAAATCAACTGAGTTTTCTTGCTATCTCTTCTTCCGTTTTTTTCCAATCAATGATGCCATTGACTTTTGTGGTATTTGTTTATATTGTAGCACTTTTGCGATATGTCATGCAAAGTTCCTTTCTTTTATTCTTTTTTTCGGTTATATAAATATTTTAATTTATGTTTTTTTGAATAGATAATTACTTTTGACGAATTAAAAATCAATCATAAAGATTTAATAAAACAATGTAAAATATTAAATCTACTTATTATATTAAAATGTGTAACATATATTCTTATTAATATTCTTTCTATTTTTAGTAGTGAATGATTCATAGTATTTAATTAATATATCATTAATTATATATTATATTAGTAAACGTCATAGACGTTCAATAAATAAATTTAGTATATATAATCCAAGAACAATAATGAATACTAAAACAAAAAACAATTTTTATATATTCATATTTATTTTTCTTGTTTGTACTGTAGATTTTCGTTTTCTGCGATCTGTCCAAAATAATGAATACACAAAATGTAAAAAATTTAATCAATTGTATTAAACAATTGTTTGGATATTGTATGCATGTTTTTATTGAACAAGTATTTATCGAATTATAATTCTTCAATTGAATCAAATAATGGAGAATTTCTGTAAGCTCAGATTATGTAATGAAAAAAAAGAATATTAAATTTTTCAGATACTGTATGAATATAGATAAAATAATCTACTAATGGAAGATTAACTAGATGATAGACTTTGCCTTAAGGTCTTGTTTTTATTGTCGAACAATTCATTGAAATATGTCTTAAAATCTCAGAAAAATGAAGCTTTCTTTCTATGATACATAAAAGTACAAACGACTTCTTTCTCTTTCGTATCGTGTGAATAGCACGGTAATAGTGTGATTATCTAATAATATAAAGCGATATTATTTTTGATCCAATATATGGATAGCAAATTTAAATATATGTAATATTAAATCCTTTAATGTTCAAGTCGATATTCACTGTTTATCATCGTTGATTTAGTTTTGTGGCTTCCTCAGCATTATTGTTGAAACTATGCATTGGTATTCTAATATAATTTTTTGTAGTAACAGTCATACTAAAGTATTGAGAATCATCTTTCTAAATTATTTACATCAGCATTCATTTTTCATTTGCAATGCTGCTTAGGGATATGAAATTTCAGTTTATCAACCGCTGATTCAGTATAATTAGTGTATATTGCTTAAACGAGCACTATTGTTCACTGCAACATTGGAAAGTGCGCCGTTACAACAAGAATATAGTTTGACAGAATTGGCATCGCAATGTTGCAGTGAACCCAGGCGTCAGTGCTTCAGTAAACACCAATGCCCGTGTAATTAGTAGACCTGTGCGTCGGTATTTACACCAACATTACACATTCCTAATGTTGTTTTTTTTCATTTAGTTTTGCGTTTGATTTGCACTAAATTTATTCTTTTCTGTGAATCAATTTCTATTGGTTTATTGAATACTAAGTATTTTCTATAGAATAATAGTCAAGTATTCAACTTTCTCAAGAGATAAGTATTACATATTTAAATCTTGTCTACCCTATAGTTGAGAATAATTTTTATGATTGATTCATCGAAAAATGATTCTGGATTTTTGTAGTATTTAACGAGTAAATATTTCTCATTTGAGACTCTGTCAGTTGAAATCTATTTCGACTTTTAATGAATCTTGCTGTAAAAGTTTTTATTTTCTTAATTTTGAAATTGTTTTATATCATAAAACTTCAACAAATGAAAAATAGGTGTATTTTATTGGCATCCATTTAACTGCTAAGTAATTTTAAATAAAATCCAAATAAAAAATTCACTTTTTGCTAAGTAATTTATTGAGAATGATTCTAAGTAAAAAAAAACATTCTTGCTAAGTTTTTTATTTAAAATCTAAGTAAATAAGTTTGATTTTCTAAGCAAAATATTTGAAATCGATAGGTAAATAAACAGTTTTTGCTAAGTAAAGAGACATAAATATCTGAGTAAAAAAATTTAAGTGTACAGTTATTGTATTAACAAAGCTTTTGTTGCTTGTCGTGATCGTTTTCTTTCTCATTTGTCAACCAATGATATATTCTTTACTGATGGAGGTGGTTTGCAAAGCTTCAACTTAATATCCATGACAATAATATTTTTGCAAATGTATTCTTTGAAGCAGCTGGAATAATAGCAGTCTGGTTTTTCTACTGTAATGAGGCTTCGGGATAGGGAAATTTTTGAAAAGAAGACGAAAACTAACATAAGCAACATCCTAAACCTATACTTGCCCATATCTTTATGCACACGAACCAATTGAAATAAATTCTCAGGAAGTTTAATTTTGATTCGGTGCTTTCTATTAGTTTCCAGGGAAACTTTTTTTTTTACTTTATTGAGAAGTGAGACACAATGGGCATAATGGAAAATGAAATCACTTTCTTGTAAATCAAATGAGTTCTCAGAATACTGAAACCCTTACCGTCCTCTAAAGTGATGCCCTCTATTTCGGAAAAAAAAAACAATTTTCATAAAGTCGTCCAGTTTCTGAAAAGTTATTTGATGTTCGGAAAGTCATATGGTTTTCCGGAAATTAATAGAAGGCATCATATTTTAATTTTAACGGAGAGTTTTGTTGATTTCAAAGTATGTGCCGATATGAGTTCCAAATGTTAGTGAAAGTCTTCATTTTACAAACACTCTTGTATCTACACCCACAACCACATCCTAAATTTGAAGTAAACTTTCGATGGTAGAGATTTATACAGAAAAGATGGATGAATGTGAGAATTTACTAGAGAATGGGAAATCCAAAAAAAAAAATAATCTTAAAAATCCAAAATAGGTCGCGTATAAAAGAAACAGAAACCAGAAAAAAGAAACATTATATAGGAGTGTCCTCAACGAAAAAATGTATGCATTCATGCATGACATCAAAACGAAATATATAGGTGACATACGTATGTATAACGAGGATAGTTTAATACTGACAGAAAGAAAGATAGAAAAAATGTATACGCCATACCACCATAAAAATTCATCTTATCTTAGGTAATCGTACTTAATCTTTATTAGAAACTGCTTAGTAGTAATAAGTTTTTACTTAGCAATTTTGTTTTATAGTTATCATTTCAAATTATTAACTTATGAAAAACAAATTTTACTTAGATATTAAATATTTAATTTAGCAAAAATTTTTATACCTAAGAGGCTATAAATTAACTAAGCGTTCAATATTTTCACTTAGCATTCTATTTATTTACAGGGCAAATACAAACTTTACTGAACAAAAATTAACTTAGGATTTATATATTTTTACTTAGCAGAGAAATATTACCCTATTTTACTTTGGATATGCAACGTGTTTGAAAGAAAAAATTTCAAACGAAAATTTATTGAACTATTTTAAAATAGAAAAAAATCGAGGTATGTTTCCTTCTTTTTTTTCTGCTGAAACTTAGCTTACCCATTGTATCTTGTAATAATAAAAAAATACTATATAATCCATTAGTGTTAGAATATTGTTTGAATTTTATTGTGTTTGTTTTTTAATTTTTGATTCTTTTCTACAAATATCTCTATTAATAAAACTGTTTTAATCAGATGTCGTTGAATATTCTCAATTAGTAAAAAACTAAAAACTGTAAAAATTTACAAGTATGAGGCAGATATACGATAAAAATGTCGCTGAACGAAAGGAATGTTGCTGAAAAAAAAAGATTATCGTCAAGCACATAGTCTGAGTCATTTGTGTCTTATGACGAAGATATTTCATATGTTTAAAGTGTCTTCTTTATAAGTTTATTATAAAAAAAAACAAATTTTACAAAATAACATTTCAAGAAGAGAGACTTTAAATATAATACGGAAAATCATATTCATTGTTGTCTAAAATAAGATTATTGTTATATGATGTTATTGAGATATATGATCTAAGTTTATAATAAAATAGATGAAATCGAACATAAAATAAGTGAAATAAAAATTGGTATCGATGATATGAATTTTTTTTTTTGAAATATAATAAATTATATGTTTTTCTTTTTTGTAGCTTATCTAATTCTTTGTCTTTCAAACATAACAAATTATATATGATATACGTATGTATTTGACAAAAACATATGGAAAAATTATTGGAATTCTTCTAGAATCAATGAACTTCAATTTAATATAAAACGTTTGTTATTAAAGGAAATATTAGTAGTAATAAGAAAGAATATTGAATTGAATAGCAGACAATAATAAGAAACTATGAAAAACATTCTTTAGTTTGATTATAAAAATGAAAATTTCTAAGAGCATTTAGTAGCTTATTTTCATATTTTTTTTATTCGTGATTATATATTGTTAACGAATCTATGTGTATATTCTATTTAAGATGGATCCAAAGGATCTTAAATTACGTACTCTTTTAATTGATATTGGTGATAAATTATCAAATAATGATCGTGTTATGCTCGGTTTTCTTCTCACTGATGATGTACCACGTCGTGATCTCGATAGTGTAACTCGAGATAGTAGAACATCGATGAATATTATATGGGATACATTAATTGAGCGAGGAAAAATTACTCCTGATAATATCGATTATCTTATTATTCGTCTTGAAAAAATTCGACGTATGGATTTAGTTCGACAACTTAAACAATATTCATTAACATCAAAATTTGAAAATCCAGTCGAAAAACCAAGAACTTCTTCAGATTTATTTACTCGTATTGATCCATAAAATTCCGTGTAAACTCATGTGAAAATTTTCATGTTTTGTATTGCATTTCATTTTGTTTTTTTACAGAAGAAAAAAAGATCACTTTTTTATAATGCTCTTTAAAAGTTATTTTGCATAGTTATTATAAAACTTTAGATTGAAAGTTAGGTATTAAATGACTTTAGAAATTAGAAAAACAAAATGCCATCTGACTTTGATTTTCGTGAATTATTAATCAGTCTTGATGACGATATGTCGAATGAAGAACGTAAAAGATTTGTTTTTCTACTTGGCGATGATATACCAAAACGGAAACGAGAAGATCCACTTGTTGATATTTTTACAATACTTATCGATCGAGGACGAATATCGCCAACGAATTGTAATTATCTAGTGGAAATATTAGAACGTCTGAAATTAATAGCATTAGCTTACAAAGTTGCTCTTTTTGAAACGAGTAAGTTATTATTATTATTATTGTTTTGTTGGTCTTTGATATATTGAGTTTTACAGAACGTTCTCCTTCAATATCACTTCCAACAGAATTGGAAAATAATCAATCAATAAATAATACTCATGTGTCATCTACTACAACAAGTGGAAATATTCGAAAAGATGTTCCTACACTGGAAGAATTCTTGAAAGATTTAAATGCATCAGATACAATGATAATATCAGGTGAGGAAGAAATAACCAGTGATTAGAAAGTTTTTAGACAAGATGTTTGTTCATTTTTGATTAACTAGAAAGTATTTCCGACGAATCAAATGCTATGAGTTAGGATCGATGGAGGGGAAAAGTTGATTCTAAAATGATTTTGGCCATCGGAATAGAGAAGAAAAACTGTTACGCTACCAAGTAACAGATAACGAACAAATTCGTGAATTTGAGTCTTTCGTCACGAAATAGATATTGTGAGAAAATCATGGTTTTTTTCTGATAAAATTTGATCCAAGTTTTTCGCAGTCAAGGAATCCGAATCTACAATCGGTTTCTCGGTGCAGCAAAGGCTATTTAAGGACACTTGGCCGAGAAACCGATTACAGATTCGGATTACTCGTCCTCGAAAATCTTTGATAAAACTTTATAAGGTATCAATTATTATGAAAAATATCCTTTCGTTGATAAGCTTACAAATTCTCCGTTACCTGATACAGGATAATTTTTCTGCTACTCGTAAATAGTAACGTAACGATAACTACCCGTCCCTAAGATTGACAATTATTATTAGATAGAACGATTTTTTTGTATGATTGCAAACGAAAAACAAAGCATGATTTGAAATGTTTTCAGGGATTTATCGAAAGGAAAACAGCTGATTCCAATGACTCCATGTGATTCGAATGTTAAAGAATCAGCTCTTTCCTCCTTGATTATAATACTCGTTTCGGATATGGAATTAGAAAATTTGTTCGAAAATAGTAAAATAATCTTTGAAAAGCTCAACACTTTAGTTTGGGGATAGAAAAGTTTTGTATTTTCACTATTGAGATTCGAAATTAAGAGTTGGAATCTTTATTTATATATCAACTTGTAGATCAGAAGCTACCCTAAAAAAGCGCTATTTTCGTTCGACAAGGCACCTCGATCTTTCGTTTTTCTAAATATTCATTTTTGAAAACTGACAACCATTTTACGTTGAAAAGAGCTCTTGAAAAAATGTTTATAGACTCACTCGGGTAAAAGCTACAGGTTAATTCGATATCACATTTCGTAGAGAAGTGTTCGCTCTACAAAATGACTAATTCCGACAGTTTTTAGTATGGTTGAAAAAGAACTTATAGGATATATCAAAACCTGTTGATTCACCATTAAAAATAAGTTTTCAACTCTTTCAAAAGGTCTGAAAAAAAATAGACACAATATTTCTAAGCCCATATTGAAATTCTGATTGCGATCTATACTTTTCGACTCGTCTGAAATACTTTCAAACAGGTTAAAATGAACAAAAATGTTCATCGGAAATGTCGACTCACAAGTTTCGTCCAAATAAATTTTTTTAAAACTTTTCCAAGATTATTTCACTACTCTCGAACAAAATTGCTAAGCTCATATTCGAAAAGAGCATTTTTGATTCGTCGAAAGTGAACAAACATCTTGTTTAAAACTTTTCAATTACTCGTTATTTTATGATTACTTTGCATAGACTATGAACAAAATACTCCAACTGATACAAAGTCTATAGTTGTTAAACCTGAACCAACAACAATAGCTTTATCATTGGAAAATATCGATTTGAAAGTATTTGAAAATGATCCATGGTCAGATGAATTTCTTCAAAAAATAAATGTAAATATTCATCCTTATGAATATCAACGTGAATTAGTACAAAGTGCTATTCAAGCAGGAAATGCAATAATATGTCTTCGATCAGGTGGTGGTAAAACTTTTGTTGCTGGTTAGTTTCATTTCTCCTTTTTTTTTGTTTTGAATTCAATCCAAGTAATTTATGATATTTAGCTTTATTATTAAAATATTATTCAATCAAAAAGATGACATTATCAAATGGAAATGAAACGAAATTCTTAGCTTTTTTTATTGTATCCCGTCGTGCAATGCTGAAACAACAATGTGAAAAATTGAAGCAAATAGGAAATCTTCAAGTAATAGCATGTGATGAAAATAATGATGTTACACAATATATCGACAATTATGATGTTATTGTTTGTACACCACAAAAACTACTCAAGTAAATTTTTCTTTTAATTTCTCAAAAAACAAAAAAAGAATTATTTTATTTTAATAGTTGTTTAAAACCAAAGACAATTTTCTTATCCAATATTGATTTACTCTGTTTTGATGAATGCCATGATACTGTAGTACGTAATCAATATGTTGGAATAATGCAATATCTTATGTGTCAAACAATTGATCATATTCCACCTGTTAGCTCTTCACCAATTATTATTGGATTGACGGGAATAGTTGGTAAAGTTTTTATTAAATATGATTTTTAAATTTAGTAGCGAAGCAAGATAATTAAATTCTAAGTTGTTGAAATTGTGACAGATGATAAAGCACTAGGAGCAACAATCAGATATATTACGGAAGAACAGGACTCTCGATAGTTTTTAGAGAGTAACTGAGAAAAGTTGCCTTCTCAGATAGTTTTTCGACAACAGCTCAAAACTTTCGCGAACACGGCATAAAAAGCGGAACAAGAGTAGCCCCTACCAAGTTGAAGCTTATACTATCAGCTTGAAAATAAATATACGCAGGGTAAGCTATTTTTCATACGGACTGAGAAAAATTTTTGTAACCCTTAGTCTAATCTACACGAAAACTTCAGCACACAAAAAGATGAAGGCATATATGATATCTGTTGAAAGATCAATGAATGTGTATGCATGTAGGCAAGTCTTCAGTCCCATCAACACTCATACTCACACTCTTTACCCTTATTTTTTTGCGTGCTTAACTTTTCGATGCTGAACATTCTTGTGGTGAAATTTCTTCGTACTACTCTCTTTCCCGTGCTTATCGTTCACCAATCCGTAATACTGTAGTCTAACGATGTTATCCATTGACCAAATCTTTTGTTAGATCATGCAATAAAATATTCTAGAATCTTATGTGAATAATCAATGTAGTATTTTGAGAAACGATGATTTTTCGTATGTATTCATTTGACTGTTCAATTTTATAGAAAAGTTTTCGTTGAATATTGAAAGATTTCATCATTAAATTAAGAAAGTTGTTGACACTGTCTACCGTTCAACTCTTCTCCATATACTCGAACTTGAGCACTCCATAGTAGGTTGATTGTACTTTTAATTTTCTTCTGCAGATACTTCACTACAACAATTTAAAAGCAATATTATTTTCTTTTGTATAAACGAAGTTGTTGTTGCTGCATGTTTTCATTTTATTATTGATCGATTTGATCTTTCTATTTGTAGGTCTTCATCGACCAGGTTCTTCACAAATAACTCGTCAATTAATAGTTCTTTGTGCTACATTTAATTGTTTAACAATTACAACGGTAATGAAAAAAGAAAATGAAATAGAACTTGAACAATGTGTTAGCCGTACATCTGAAGATGAAATTATATGTATTAATAAAGAAAAAACATTTGATACATTAAGATTATCAATAGAAAATGAACTTAAAAATTTAATTTTACATTTATTTTTAAATAAAGATACAAATTCACTACGTGTTTTTCCTGAAAAAGATTTTGATATGAATGGATATGAACAAAATCTTGAAATTTTAAAACAATCCGAACAAAAAAATCAACATTTTTCATCTGTAATTTTACTTAATTATATTCTTGCTATTTATCGACATTTAAAAGCATTAACTGATTTAACACCAGAATTAGTTCTTTCAAATTTAAAAGATTATTTGGAAATGGTATATAAAAGTCGAGAACATCCAATTGAAATTGATACATTAATTTATGAAAAATGTCAAAATTTATTGAAAAAAAAATTGACAGAAATTGAAGAATCTGGACAAATATTATCGAATCCAAAACTTGATAAAGTTGTTGAATTATTAAAAAAACATGCGGAACAATCAAATAATCGAGGTAATCTTATATTCGAATGTTCTCTTTTTTTTATGTAAAAATTTAAAAATTATTTTAGCTCTTGTTTTGGTTGAACGAACATTTTATGCTCAGAAAATATGTGAATTTTTACAAAGTCATTCAGAATTAAAGGTTTGTTAAATAATGAGTGAGCCGCAAGTTTTGAGACAAAATATTTTTTTATTTTTGACTTCCTTGAAAATGTTTAAGAGAAGTCAAAAGCTAAGGATTACGACCAACATATTGTACACTTTTCGAATGTAGCCTTAGAAATTTTATCCCGATTTTTGTTCGAGAGTAGTGACATAATCTTTGAAAAACTCAAAAAGAATGAGTTTAGACGGAAAGTGTGAGCCGAAGTTTCTGGTGCAAATGATTGCTCATTTCGATCTGCTTGACGTTATCTTGAACAAGCAAAAAACTATGGATGATGATAAGATTTTTGTGTTCTCGTTCAATATGGAATTAGATATATTGTGTCTATTT